GTGACCAACGTAATTGCTCGTCATAAAAATCGGGTCTATTCTCAACACCAATCTATTACCGAACGATATGAATAAAGCAGTACTACAGTACAGAATTTAAAAATTAAATATCTATGTTGTTTGTTGCTTATTAATTTAGATTTCTGTACCTTATTTATACTTGCGACATATATTTGTACGTCTTTAGTACTGCTATTAACTGCTATTAACATTGCCTATCTGTTGTAATGCGTTCAACTTTTATACAATACTGTCAAATTGCTCGAACCGATCGAAGACCGATCAAAATGTTCATTCACTTATTCAAATACAATGTATGCATTTTGGTCAACACAAAATCAATTACATAATTTAAATGTTATTCAAATATACTGAAGTTTTGGTTTCTAGTTACAACCTGTGACCATACCCATTTGCACGTGTCCCTCAAAAGTGCGATGATTGATTTGTGTTAAGTAATACTCTACTAGACGTAAGCCGGCGCCTGATTGCATCACATTGAATTATACCAATGTGAACGATGCAATAAGAATAGTTGTAAGAACGAAAGAAAAATTAAAATGATTTATATTGTACTAAGATATAACTTGAAGCTATCTAAAATTTTAATGTAAATAACAACAACTCTGACTTCAGCGTCCGATTTAGGTGGGACGAAACATGCGTACATTATTTTGAATATATTAAAATCTGGCTCTTCTTTTCGGCAAAACCAAGTGCCCTGCAAGCGGAGACCTTTAGCGCACTAGGGAATCCTGTTGCTATACATCCATTGTTCTTTTCAACTAGACGTGTCAAACGCTCAAATCATATATCACATTTTCATGTGCCTTAATAACAACCTCGGAGCTACTACCACTGCTAATTATTTCAGTAATCTATCCATAAGTAATGACACCACTTTTCACATTGCTCGCATAAAAGCATTCTTTCCTCTCTTCGCTCATCTAAATTGGACGTACTTACTAACGTTTTTTATAAATTGACCTTTAAAATGTTAGTCATTATTGACACTTGGCTTAAGCAACATATTTCAAATAATTCGACCTTAATTGTTACGATCCTATTGACTATAATGTATGCCGAAATTATCGCCCCATGAGTAGAGACGGAGACTCCGTCCTTTATATATCCAAGACTTTCAATAGAGAGACAGAGTGAGAGTTTAGGGTAGTATTTAAAGGTTCACTTGAAGGAATTTGTGAGAATTTATTTATAGAACTTACCTATGATAATAGTAACCTACCGTGCCCGAGCATCCACAGACGCATTTGAAAGAGAACAGATGGCTTTATTGACGTAATAATGTGATCATAGTTGGTGCCTTAAATGTGATTATAGTTGGTGACTTAAATTATGATATATTCCAGTCACCCAAATGTGCCTATCTCTGGTCCCTCCGCTACCGTAACCGTCTGACCTATAGGCATAATTCCCTTCCAGTCCACTTCAATCCCCAATATCGATCTAGTTCCTTTATAGAGTGCTTCTAGACGAGTGGAAATATAACTTTTACTAATTCGAGTCAAACAACAATTCGTGACATATCTTATCATGATTTAATATTTCTTGACCTCTCTGTTAAAGAGGATTAGATTGAAGAAATTAGTTTTTCCACCAACTAGAGTACAGCGTATGTAAATGCCATTACTAGTTACTTACGTGCTGTTGACTTTTCCTGTTTTCCTAATCTGCCGATCCTTCTAATAGAATTATTTCATGGTCTTCTGCGCTTTATTGCTAATCCTAGTACTAGAATCTCTTACAGGTACGATTCCTGAGTTAACTCTCGGGATATTACATACTTGCGCTCGCTCGTAAACAGCATTTCAACATGATACTCAGCATGATAATAATGATAATGATAATTGGCAGACATATAGTAGGCTGTGTAACCAAACAAAAACCGTGATACGTTCCACAAAAGAAGAGTGTTATTATAAGGTATTCTCCAATGCGAATTCAAAAACTACGTAAAATGTATTGTAGGAAGGGGGCGTTACTGCCAATGATCTATTGTTCAGTCTGGTCAATATCTACTTTATACAAAGCAAGCCGCAAACCGCACATATCGATCCCAATGTTTCTCAAACTTTTGTTGGGTCGGACTCTTTCGTGACTTTTATAAACTTTGTAGTTACCAAAAAAAAAAAAAAAAAAACAAAATTGAAATTAAAATCATTCAACACAAGCGTGCTGAAAGCGTTAACGAACATAGCTAGAGTTAAATGGATTCCTCAACGGCGACGGTCAATTACGCGCCCATGGAGGGGCGGAAACGATTCCTTGCAATAAACCGATCATCTTATTATGTAACCATCATATAACATTTTTAATTGTAATACATTATTATGAACAATCGCACTGTTTTCATGAAGGTATCATCAATAAAATAAGAAGGTTATTCCATATTAACCGGCTGCACTTTTTATGCAAAAATTACCCGAAGGATGCCAATAATGTGAGAATAACGCAGAAACTCCAATGATTCCACAGATGAAACCAATACCATATGCTAGACAGGCTAGTTTCTAAGCTCCATTCACATATACCGGCATAGACGTTTTTGGTTCATTTACGGTGGCAGCGCGAAGGAGCAGCCAGGAAAGGTGGGATTTTGTTTTTCTTGCCTAAAGAACCGTACAGTACATATTGTAGTACACCATAGCCTAGATATGAGTTCTTGCATTTTATGCATGAAAAACTTCACAAATCGAAGGGGGATACCTAGGAAATCATTTACCGACCACCCGCCAACTTCAAGGCCAACGTGAAGATGTTCAAGGAGGAAGGTAGAGCAATAGACCTCAACAGGTAAGCCCAGCATCAAGACACCATCAAATGGATATTTAGTCCTCCAACGCCCTACCTATGGGAGGAACATGGGAACGGTGCTTCGTCCCATAAGTTCTTTATATCGTTTCAATATGCAATATGTGAAGCAGCGTACATCACGGCGCTGTTACTCCAAACCATCTACCCCTAGGATTTATTTCTGGAGCAAGAGCTATATGTAATTATAGCCTAGGCAGTATACGGGACCGACGGAAATGAAGCCAACTGTTCACTTCTGGAAAAGATGAGTAAAAGAGTATGCCCCCAACCTTACACGAAGAGGAAAAAGGTTCTTTAAATGACGTCTCGCAAAAATGGATGGTATCGTCATGATTGGCCACGAAAATCTGCCTAGAATACGTGGATGAACGTCGTTATCATTGAGCTGACAAAGGTCAATGATGGAAAGTTATGCAGGGTAAACGAAAAGGCCTCGAGTGGTGTTTTGAAAAGGCCTACAGCTAAAATGGTTATTTTGAATGTCCTCAAAGAAAACGGCAACAAATCATTCATGGTTCGCTTACGGAGGAACGTCACCGTCTTGAGTAACGCTTCCAATCACCGATTGCAAATATCATTGTCTCGTCATAGTTAGAGAGCACGAAAAGTTATTTTTTCTTTGTTGTCGCGAATGCAGCACGTACTTCTGACAATTCTTTTAAAACGATCTACTTAAACAGACTGAAATTACAAAACAATAATTATAAATTATTTTAAGATAAATCTGACAAATTTGTAGTAAAAAAGATTTGTTTCACTACAAGAAGCGCCTTCGTCATTAAATTCGTCAAGCATCTTTCTTATTTACTTAAAAGCAGGGAATTGTTTACGCTTCTGCTTTGCAAACGTTTGAAAAAATGTGACGTCACATCAAGAAATTATTGACAGAATCCGCGACGTGAGAGTCCCAGAGAATCCCCTAATCTCAATTTTGAACAAAATATTGGCAATCTATGTACTTCGTTTTTATTGGTAGTACTTAATAATTTTATTTCGCAAATATTGCCAACGAAATGTTCCATCCTACGTATATAATAGATGCTGATTATGTATTTTTTATTTAACTAGCTCCCAGTTGAGAGTTATATATGTCTTTCGTCAGCGAAAGTATATGTCGATATATAGGAAGACGGGTGAATCAGAATTGATTGCAAGCTTCGGCGACTTAAAAATATTAGTTAGGCAAATGGAGTAAAAAGCAAATAAAAAGTGAATTAATTTACATACCTTTCACAAATTTAAAGTTTTTATTTTGCTTCAACTGTTTGTAAGCTGTTTAATACAATCCATATTTATTTTCGCATGCCCGCACAAAATGAAGAATGCTTCGTAAACCGAAAAGTCAAGCGCAGCCGAAATGGAATGGTGAGTTAATCTACATAGACATACGATTTATCTATATGCATATAAATACATTATTCGTAGATTTTGCGACCACATGAAAATTATGGAAGTAACTTTTAATTTCCTGGATGAAGGCAACTTATTTTGACGACGATGTCAATGTTTCGCTAGAGGCCTCCCAATCGAGGCGAATAAGTGAACAAATATAAACCGGCGTATCTTCTCCGCTTTCAAATTTCATTGCATTGAAATGAAAGGTATCAAGAATAAATCCGCTGTAATATGTTTTGCGGAAATTAAAAACTTTGTTTTTATATATATAATGCAAAGTTACGTCTCATTTTAAAATTTTTTTGTGTTCTTTATAAGTAAATTTATATATTAATGTATTAACAAATTACATAAATGAAAATAAAGTAATACACATTTAAATCCATAATTCAAAGTTTTCCTAAGAACTGAATATATGAATTTATATGGGTTATATGAAATTATTTCACTTCATTTTATTTCGTCGAAAATTTTACTTAATTTTACTTTTGTGTGATTTTGTTATTAACTTTATCATTGTAAACAAGCAAACGTCAAATTTGCTCCTTATTTTCCCATATTTTTTTCGAATGACGAAAGCCATACATAACTCTCAATCAAACAGTTCTCGCGATACGCCTTTCAAAGGAGAGCTTAACTACAAGGTATATAATTAGTGCCCGGATGAAAATTCGAAACTTAGCTTTGAAAATACAACGCTTATTATATTTTACATTTGCAACCTATGATCGCAATTTGACAGCATTGTTAGTCATCTGTAAAGCCTGTAGTTTCTAGTAATTTTTCATTATGGTTGCACGTATTAATTTACGATTCGAGAAAAAGTCTTTGTGCTTCATTGTTTATTTCTAATAGAAACCTTTTCGTAGTAGAAAATTAATTAAACTATACAATAAAATGGATTTTGGTACTTTGTTGCATATGGCCAAGAAAAATAGTGAAAATTCCAAGGATAATGTAAGTACCATAAAAGCAAATTGACTGACTTTTGATTTCATTATCGTATGCAAAAAATGCAGACAGTTTAATTTGTGTGGTTATGATTATTTCCTTTAGGGTAAATATTATAGTACGAAATTTTCCCCTCCTAAGAAGGAGTCCAAGCAGAAGAAACTCTCTGATAACATACAAAAATTTTTGCAAAGGCGTGAGCAAGAAGAGCGAGAACGTCAAAAAGAACATAAGGAAAAGGTGGCAAAATTGTTAGCTATGCGTGATGAGAAGTCAAAAAATAAAATACGAAAAATGTTAAAAGTTACTAAATCGGCAAATAAATCTGTATTGGAAGATGCCATTGATAGCGAACACACAGCCATAACTAGACAAGGTCCTGATCAGCCTGATCAAGATGATTATGGGTATGTCTCAACTGAGGCTAATGCTTTTTATCAGAAGTACATAGAAAAGGTAAGTGAAATAATCCAAACGTGTAAAGACACTTAGCATTTTCGGTAATATCTTAGGTTAAAGATGTTAAGGAAGATAAAGGTTTTGCCCCTAGTCGACCTCAATCGTTGAAAGATCTTTCTGGTACGAAAGAACGCGTCAAAGCGGCTTTAACGCAAGAAATAGAAGAGAAAAGTAATTCTTCCCGTCACAGGCGGGAAGTGCTAAACCTGTCTTCTCCGTCTACTTCCAATAGTACTAACGCTTCTAATGGGTCCCGTTCTTGTCAAGCATCGCATTCATCCCGTAAATCTCTTTATGATCCCGAAGCAGAAAAATTTGAAGATGAACGCAAGCGTAAAGAAGAAGAAAAAAAGAAATTGAGAAATCGAAAACCTCCACCGCCTCCAATGGACTTCCAAGCCTTATTAAAACTGGCTGAAAAAAAACAGTTTGAACCTATAGAGATTCCAACAGAGGTGAAAAAGAAGGAACCTGAACGTTTATTGACCTCCAAAGAAAAACGCGAGTTAGAGGAGAGAAGGAAAGCGAAAGAAAATAGAGAACGCAAAGGAAAGCAACGTGATGATGACACAAATGTCGATAGAGCACATAAGGAGCAGAATAGTAACACAATAACAACGGATCGCATGGAACCAAATGGACGCATACCGAAACTTAATAATCAAACATTTAGCAAATCAAGCGCTCCCTCAAACACAAAAAATGTTAATGACGATATGAGAAAATTACCTAACAAATCAATAAATTCTACCAATGCCACAACGAAGCCCAGTTCTTCGAAACCATCGTCAACTTCTTTGGCTAATGTTAAACTTAACGCGAATAACAATACAAGCAGTAATAACAACAAATCTTACCAACATTCAAATAGCAAGTCGATTGGTGATGGCATTAGTAAAAATACTTACAGCAACGGCAATAAACCATCATGTAATAATTCGACACGGGACATGAAAACTCAAAATGCAAAAACATTTCCGCATCCAGATACGCAAAAATCACGACATATTCCACTTGAAGATGTTAGAAAAAAATCAGTTGACAATAGGACTAGTAATAAAAAGCCTAATATGGCATCCAAAAGTGAGAGACTAAAATTTAACGTACTTAATTTTTAGTTTTCACATTTTATTCTCCACTTCAGGGCGAATTTTGGAGGATGAAGATGATTCAGAATATGATTCGGAAATGGACGATTTTATTGATGATGGTGATGCCGAAGAGGACTATTCAACACATATTAAAGCCATATTTGGATATGATAAGTCCAGGTTTGAAACACCTTATTTATGTCCACTTTTACTTGAAATTCATGATTATTAAATTAAACGTTCAAAATTATATATTTTTCGTTAAGAAATAAGTACATATTATCTGTATCTTTCTAATTTACTGACTTCATCTGTTCACAAGAGACTATCAATCTCTTTTCTCTTATAATAGTTTTGTTTGTTACTTTCTACTCATCCAATGAATTTTTCTTCTGTTTCTAAGATCATAATTCGGTAATAACAAACCGTAACACAGGTTGAAGTTATTCTATTCAATAATTAATTTTTTTTTTAGTTATTAGAAATTGATAGTAGTAAACGAAGAACAGAATGAGATGACGGCAAAGTTCATAATATATCATTAGAAACCATTAATTTGATGTGTAACAGAAAGATTTTTTTATGATGTGAAATATTATAATAGGTATCGTGACTTGGACGAAGATGACGCTGCAATGGAATCGAGTTTTGCTCAAGTTCAAAGGGAAGAATATATTAGCAAAAAAATTGGTAACAAAGCGTATATTTTTGAAAGATTTTTTCCTAATTTATTTTCGCTACAGGTATACAAGAAGATTTGGAAGACATGAAACTAGAAGCTATGGAAAAGAAACGCAAAATGATGATGAAAAAAAGACGTTTAAATAATTAGATGAAATAGAATCTTTTTTTCTTGTTAATTTTTCGTGAATTTTTTAAATTTGTTGCACATTTTTTTTTTTCAGTGAATATCATTTCCTTTTTACTTTGGATTGTAAACTTTGTTATTCAACCGTATAGCTGTACACTTAAATATAATGTTAACGTGCTTAGATACGCTAATTTCATACCTATACGTATGTATATACATATAAATATATATCAAAATATAAATATTTACAAAATACGTAAAATATATATATTAATAAATATATGTAAAAAGAAACATAAAAATGCATGTATTTGTAAATGTATATATTTATATATATACTGCATTTTTTTTTATAATTTGTCAGAAAATAAAAAAGATTCTTCGAAGTAAAAAATACGTCATTCTATATTTTTAAACCAATAAGTTAGTATAAGTTGACAGCGAAAATAAATTATGTTTGCGTTGGATCAAAACGCCTGCGTTTAATAAGTTATCGCGGATCTAAAGTGCAATTCTTCTACCCCTCCTGTCATAAATACATGTACGAGATGTGCAAAGTTGTTTAGTATCTAAGTTCTTATTAGCTGGTTAGTATCAGTGTTTTCATTTGGCTCCTGTTAATATTTGTATCAAACTTGTTGAACGCAGTATACCTTGTAAGTTATTGGCAATAATTGGAAAATTTTCTCCAGTTTAATTTTAATAGACATAATATCGTCAATCATTGCCTCGGAACACCAAGGCATACAAAGGCCTTACAAAGTCAAAAATTATGTCAAAAGCCCACACTGTCTTCTCACCACCGACAGGTCGCAGCCGATACGGCTGTTAATCTAACTTTCAATATTCCATCTCGAATCTTTGCGACCGCAATCTAACAGTGCTAAGTTTATTTACCCAAAAATTTTCGTTGAATAAGAACATGCATATATAATGCATATCAGTAATCCATTTTATAGGTCTGTAGTACACAAACGCTCACAACACCTGTATCTCGTAAAAATGCCTGTATGTAAGTTTAACTAGTACCATTTTAATAAAGTAATGAGTCAGCAACATTCCGGAGTATTGCCTGTCACCGAAAGGGCTCTGCCAATTAAGATTAAGCTACTGAATCCTTCCTTTTCCCAGAAAATTCTGTTTCTTGGTGATGAAGTCTCACATAACTACATATTTTTTATCAAAAATTTTTTTTTTTTTTTTTGGTATGTTGAACAGAGATGGACTAAGCCAATAGATTTGTGGCTTATATGTCCAAATAATAAATTGTTGTAGTTTTTGGTCACAATTATGTACAAAACGTAACAAAAAAAAGAGCGGCCGTAATAACTGCAGCCAGCATGTTAAGTGTAATTGTGTATGTGTGTGTAATTGTGCTTGTTGAGTTCTTGAGAGTTAAACAGTGTTGCAAACTTTGGCTGAAAACGAAAAGCAATGCTATGGTAATAGAAGATTATTAAACGCAAAAACGAAAGAAAAAAAAGGAAAGAAGAGAAAAAAAAAAAAATTCTAAAAGGATAAATTAGCTTTTCTAATAAAGCAAGTTAGTTTCCCGAGATGACGTACATTTTTTGCTGCAAAGAGATCGAGGAGACAGCCATATAACTTGAAGAAGCTAAAGGAATCTCTAATGCCATCAAGCCTGTGACATCTGAAGATTAGATGCTCAGCAGACTCAACAACATCACATGGTATAGCGCGAATCATTTTTAAATAAACTTTGTCATAAGTGTGACCACTCATGAGTCTATAAAGAATTTTGATTTCCCAGGAATTAAAAGAAGATACACAGAAGGGTTTGAATTGAAATGTGGGATTTAATTTATAGAAAAGACGATTGGATTTAACGCGCGCGATTACTTTAAATTCGTCGTTTAGCTGTTGAAGGATGTGGTTGCGAATTGCCCGAATTGCTTCATTGGGAGTATATTTGATGGACAAAATTGTCCCATCAACACGAGCTCTCCCTGCATGAAAGTCGGCTTTTACATTTAAAAAAAAGCCGCAGTGGCCAGGTACCCAAACGAGCTGACAGTCATCCATTTGAGATTCGTGCAACGTCTTGTGAATGTCAAACACATATTGATTTTCTGCATCTCTTTTATTTATTAGAAGTAGAGCTGACCTGCTGTCGGAAAAAATAACAAAACGTCTGATACCATCGGAAATAGCAACCATGATAGCATGTCGAATGGCGAGCAACTCAATAAAAGTAGAGGAAAGTTCCTCTTCCACTTTGACTCGAAGTATTGTTTCAGATAGATGTTTCACGACCGAGAAGCCAGATGCATCATGTCCGACGGAACCGTCAGTGGCATATATATCATATCCGTTGTTGTAATAAAAAAGGAGCTTTTCTTGGCATAACAACCTTATACAAGAGAAGTTGACATTTTGTTTTGAGGTAGAGATCGGTTCGAGAATGTTCATGAAGACTTTGCATTTGCTGGTAATGAAATTCAAGGGGGGAATTGAATCTAACTTATCAAAAATATGACGAAGTTTTTGATAGCAAAAAGTATAGCTGCAAGTGACAGTATCACTGAGAGATATAATTTCCTGAAAAAAGGAAGGATTTATCATCTTGACTTTAATTAACTCCTTGGCAATGCAAAAAAGGGCTCTTTCGGAAACTGGCCATTCACCAGATATAACATTGAGAATATGTTGAGGAGTTGAGGGGGTCAGTCCAATACAACGCTTCAACATTCGGTTTTCAAATGCTTGTATACGTTTTTCAATATATTTTGGGAAATTGCAACATATGGAATGTCCAAATTCAATTTTGGACCTGACTAGAGATTTGTAAACGGTCAAACCATTTTTGGGAGGCAAGCCTACCTGATTGTTTGTCATGAGTTTGATGATGTTGCATCCAGACTGACAATCTTTGAACGCCTTTTCATAATGCCCACGAAGGGTTAAGCTGTCATTTAAAATTCTCCCAAGAAATCGAAGAGATTTTACCTAATTAACTTGGGTACCTTTAATAAAAAGTCTGATTTCACGTTTAGAACCTTTGGCAAAATAAATAGTGTTTGTCTTGCTGGGGTTAAAATATAAATTAAGATCAGCGCATGCATCGAAAAACAAGTTCGCTTTCATCGAGAGGTTATTGACAGCTGCTGGGAAAGATGAGTCCGCAGATACGATTAGAAAATCGTTTGCATATTGAAAAATGTGAGTTTTGTCATCTTGAAGATCATGCAAAGAAGCTGCGTATAAATTGAGGAGTATGGGGCTTAAACAACTGCCTTGTGGGATACCACCGTATATTTCAACTTTTTCGGTACCCATCACCAACACACGCCTGGATAAAAAATTAAGTATCCACAGCCGCATTTGAAGAGGAATCGAAAAGTTTAGGAGAATTCTACCGAGCTTAATCAAGTTGACACAGTCATAGGCTTTGCTGATGTCCAGGGAGAGCATGACAACCATTTTCCCTGCTTTTTTTAAGCTGGCTATGAGAAAACACAGTTCATTAACGCACATATTCGTAGATTTGCGTTTTTGATAGGCGTAAGACCGAGCTGGAATAATGTTCTTAGTTTTCAGGAAAGCAGTTAGTCTCTCCTTAACCATGAGGTTGATGGTCTTTATGAATACAGATATTAGTGAAATTCGTCTGAAGCTACTTAAATCATTTAAGTCTTTGCCTGGCTTGGGAATGGGAACTATTTTGATGTAACGCAAATCAGAGGGTATAAAGTTGGTGGACCAACAGTTGTTAATTGCATGCAAAAGCATGCTAAAGCTTCCTCCAGACAGTGCTCTGAGCATGTCATACTTGACTCCATCACAACCTGCAGCAGTAGCTCTCTTTCTGGAATGTAAAACATATATTAGCTCATGCAATGAAAAGGGTGTCTTACTGATATTACTAAAAGGATTTGAAGGCATTGTAATAGGATTAACAATTGGAATGTAGCTCTTGAGCATATCTAAGTATTTTTTATTATCACGGTCATTCCATACAGCACAACCGCTTAATTTTCGACTAGAATGTCGATGACCATTGATATAATTCCAGAAGGAACGTGGGTTGCCGTTACCACACAACTCTTTAATAGCGATGGCTCTGTGTGCCTTTTTCGCCTTTCTAACTGCAGACCTCCATTCTTTCAGTATTTTCATATATTCAATGTAGTTGGCTGGATTGGCATATTTACTCATTTTTTTTCTTGCAGCTAGGTATTTGCGGAAAAGTGTTCACAGGGAAAAATTCCACCAAGGTTTAGGTGAGAAGGACTCAATGTCAGGGAAGTTGGTTCTAGCAGACATGATCACAGACTGAAAGGCACTTTGAATTGATGATAAATCAAAAGGAAGATCAACTTTAGACAGACGGTCCATAAGGAAGTTGCGTGAAATGAAATTTTCTATTTTCTTGACGGAATTGTTACAACTGTGGAATATAATGGGGGAGTGCTGACTTTTGCCAATGGAAACATTGGACGTGTTCCAGTTGAAAAATAAAATAGTTGAGTTAGAGAAAGTTAGATCCAAGACACTGCTCGCCGTGCGACCGGTCCGGTTACAGTGAAAGGTAGTATTGCCGTTATTTAAGACACTGAAACTGCTGGAATTGATGGCATTTACAAGGATTTTGCCTTTGTTGGTAGAGACTTGATCGCCATACAGGCGGTGTCTTGCATTGAAATCTCCAGCTAGAATCACATTTTGTTCACCGCCAAGAAAGTCGCATAATCTCTGAATCTCATCACGATGGGTTTGCACATCGAGACTGGGTGGAAAGTAGCATGAGGTTATGAAAAAATTCGGTTTCAGGTTGATGGTTTTGATGATGATGATGCCAACGGCAGAGTTATAGGGAATACGTCTGAAATTGACACCTTTCTTAACTAATATACTAACACCACCATAGCCATCATTTCGGCATTTTGTGGCTGAGGCATAATTCGAAACTTTAACTTCGACACAGTTTTCATCTTTCAGAAAAATTTCACTTAAGATACAAAAATCAATCTTGTTTGCAGCAGAAATAGCACAAGCAGACATTTTTTCTTCAAATTCTTTAATAAAATTGTGAGGGATCATCGGACGGATACTTTCTTGAATCGTGAGAATTAATCTTTCAAGTTCTGGAGACCGCAAATAGTTGTTTGAAATTTTCCGTCTAAGAAGCCTTGTTCCAGACGACTTGGGGAGTGTATTGGGAGAAGGCTTGGTGGGTGATTTGATAAGAGATTTGGAGGGAA